GTAAAAATTAGAGACTGGGACAAAAAAAAAAAGTCAAAGAAACCAAAGTTGTTGTTGTTGCTGTCAGATGGCTGTATGTATTTCTGTTCACTTCATGGAAGTATTATAGATAGGGGAGGGAGAGGAGCCTCTTGCTCTGTTTCACTGGTTTTAGTTGAACTCAACCGAAGTAGCAAGTGATTTCTTATCTTACTCTGGACAGGTTTTATCTTGTTCCCACCCACAGCATGGCCCTTATCCTGTGCCATATTATGATTGCACCTGTTCTGTGCAAATACACTGTTTGCCCTAGAGGTGGGAAAGACATTTCTGTGTTGAACTCTAACATTCCCCCTAAATAACCAGATGAGACAGGGAAAAATGAGCACAATGTATGATGCCCATTACGCTCCTGTTCACAGTGATTTATTTTTTGTACTTTTTGCACCTCTGTTGGTGTACCTAGTCCTAGTTAGAAGTGTCCAGTTACATCCTAGCACTGACTGTCACAGGAACAGTCTGTGCTTCTTGACTGTTTTACTGAAGTGGAAAAGCTGAGGTATATTCAAAATATTGCAGTACAAATGAGAGATATTTCATTCTCAATGTAATTAATTGTATTGATATTAGAAAGTGTATCAACCTGAGCACTTTTGTTTGCTATATGCTGTAATTCGGTAACCTAAACGAGGTAATGCCTGAAAAAAAACTTGACAGTTCTAACATACCTTTCTTGAATTTTTTTCTTGATGCTAACTTCAAAATAGGCTGAGTATTACTTTGTGTAATACATTTTTTCCTTTATAAAACAGATCTGAAAATATCAGGAGTTTTATTTTCTGTGAAAATTGGGCATATTCTAGTAGAAATTACTGAGGCTTGCACACACAGAGACTCCATCCCCATTCCTGTCCTAGCTGAAAGGTCTATTTTTCCTCATACTGCTCAAATTTAATGTCTTGTGTTTCAGAGTTTTTTTTTCCTGCAGTTTATATAGCTTAATATTGTGGGGTTTATGACTTTAAATAAGTGCACAAGCACTCTGCTTTTGATATAATTCGACTGAAATTGCACAATGGAAAGTTATCCTGACTTGTGAGGACACAGTGTTCAAAGACATGAATTTTAAATAGGTCACTGAAAACTGAAAGTGTAAGTGGAATATTGACTTTTGTGGTGCTACGTTCAATTTTAAAGCAGCTGAAGTCGGAAAAATCTATCTGTAAGATGTGACAGGGAGTCAAGAAATAATCACACACCTTGGATTTTGAAAGATGCAAAGCACAGTTCCATTCCCTTCTGGTGTGATGGATCTTTTTACACCCTGGAGTTTGCTGCTTATGAAAACCAGTATTATAAGAGCACTGCTTCCTCCCCCACCCTGCTGAGCCAGACCCAGCAGTTAATTAGAAGTCTTAATAGGTTTGTTGGTTGACCCATCATGTGTTTTCACACTGAAAACTATCTTAGAACAGTAGTAAGTCCTCCTATGTAATTCACTCGCATCAATCTGGTTATATGGATTCTTCTTTTTTTACTAACTTAGTTTGTGAGCTAATCTTAAATAACAAACCAGTTTTCTGAGCCACCTTCTGTCACCATTTCTCTGTCCTGCCTGGATCAGTAGCACAGAGATTTTTTTCTGTAGCTGTAATCTTTTCCCTCAATCCTCCTCTGTAATAATAGTGATGTTTTAAAATGAGCAACAACCCCACACACACATGCACCCTCTTCCCCAGCTTCAGAAGTGCTATTCTTGGTATTCTTTTTCTTAGACTGTGAGAAGTAATGAATCAGTTTAACAGCTCATTGCTGCCCTTCCTTACCTACTTGTGGTTTGCTTTTCCTTTCCAAACCCTGGGCCAGCTCTGGAGCTCATCTATACATCTGCTAGCTGTTGCATTCCACCACCCTGATAGAGAAGTGAGCATTTCTACAAGAAACTGTAAAACTGTTTTTGTATTAAACAGCCTGTTATTTATTCCTACTTTAAAGGCTGTTGTAGAACAAGTGTTATGAGAGAGAGCAAACTACTGAAAGAAGAATATGAATAAAAAACATTCAGTTTCAATGGTTTCAATGGTTTCTTTGCAGTATATTTAGCACTATCATTGCTGTGGCTCTCAGTGTTCAAGGGCAAAGCCTAGGTGATATGGTGTAGCTGATTGCTCTGACTGTGGGATTTCTGGATTTCTCCTATTTAGTTTGTTTTTCCAATTACAGACTACTGTTTGCATTGATTTGGCTTCTTAATGTAAATATAGTTCTGAGTGATGATGTTGATGTGGGTATGCTCACTTTTTGTAAGAAAATAGCAAGCAAATAGAAGTCAGATTTTTCTGTATTGCAGAAGGAGATCTTCAGAAATTAAATACAATTAAGGAAGATGAAATTTCAGATGAAAACCCTCAAAATACATATTAAAAAAAGGTTCAACCTTTGTAAAGAAACCTAGCACTGCTAGAAGATCATGGAAAGCACACCTGTTCTCTGTTTAATATTTTTGTGTGAGTAGAAAAAGCTAAGGTGACTGCAGGCTAGCGTTTAAAAGGAGAGTCTAAAAGGAAGAAGTGTTGTCTTTAACATGAATGGTATTTCCTGTGGTGCACGTTTGGATTGCTAAAGTTCATTTCCTAGACTGAATTAGTTGTGGAGTCCACTAGACTGGAGATTATTTTTGCCCAAGATTCATAATTCATCTACTAATCTCCTTCAATTATTCTACTGGATGTTTATAGATTCCTGATTCCCTTTTAATATCTGCTAATGGGTAATTACAGTCAGCAATCATTCTTGTCATGGAAATTGCTAAAGTAATTTCAGAAACACTGTTGTTATTTGTGTGAAACAAAAGATGGAATGGAAATCAGAAGTGTACCATCTGGTTTTGGTTCTGTAGTAGTTAAAGATGGAAAAACTGGTTCTGCTTGCACCAGTTATTGAGAGGAATAAGGCAATTTATATCAATTCACTTGGTTCTTGCTATTAGAGTTTGCTTTAATATTTCAGGTTGAGACTTCTCTTTGGTAACCAGACAGCTCTAGGTGATCAAGACCTGAGCTCTTGGCAAGTGAACTAAGTGAAGAAATACTTGAAAAATTATCCAGGTGGTTCCTGTGGATGTGTTCGTTCATGAATAGATCAGTAGCTCTGAAATTCAAAGCAGAACAGCAACATACTTGGATTTCATTTGGAAAGGCATTAACTTGGTTGCTAGCAGGTGAGAATAATTCTACCAAGAGAGGGGAGAAAGGACCCATCACTGGCTGTCTGCACAACCTGGAGGTTTTCAAGCTGAGACTGGATGTGGCACTTAGTGCCATGGTCTAGTGACCACAGTAGGGTTGGACTTGATGATCTTGGAGGTCGTTTCCAACCTGGTTGATTCTGTGAATCTCTGAACTATACATGAGAAAGTTATATTGAAAGAGATCTTCATTTTATCTCTTTTTAATGCTTATGTTAGTTTATTCTGGGTGTTACTGAGTAAAAGTGATGCAATATGGTCTTTTCTCTTTTGGGGTAAGAAGTTGTGGTTGCCCATTTTGCAGGAGTTCACTTTTTACTTCCCCAGTCTCACTCTTGATGTGTCTGGTTTTGCCTGCCTGGGCATTAATAACTGGCCAGTGTGCTAGTGTTTGGCTCCGTTCGTAGAGGTGAATTCACTCAGTATGATTTCTGAAACTTTCTCCTGCTTGCAGTGTGAATGCAGCCAAAACACGTGTGTGGGTAAGCATTTTGTCTTTTGAAAGGAACTGGCTAAGATTTGGCTTTTATGGAGAAAAAACAAAAAGAAAAAGGATTTTAGTGTGTTCTTTCTCCCTGGAGCAATGGCCTTGGGCACCATGGTGACAGCAGTCAAGTGGCACAGAAGCTGTGGTCCTGTTATCAAGTTTTAATAACACTTCTTCAGAGATCCTGTTTTTCATTCTTCCCTCTATCACATCCCCCTGTCTTTTTTTTTTAATGGCTTTTGGCATTGAGCTAACTATGTTTATGAATCTATTTGAAGAACATTGGTCATTAGTAATTAACCAGCTCATTCCTTAATGCTCATTGTTAACAGAACACATGTATTGCCTTGGAAACTCTATTGTTTTGAGTAGAATGAAATATATAGAACTTGATGCTAAGTAGCCTTTAAAAAATGTTTAATAAATTTTTGCTTGGACAGCTGTATTCTTTTCTCATTTTCTATGCCTTGATTAAGGTGTGAAAGGAATACAAAAAAAGGGTTTCTTTATTTTTAAGATGCATGTTTTGAGGAAGAATGCAAAGATTTCATACATATAAACTCACGCAGGCGTGCACAACTTCAAAGAGTTGTGAGCATTCAGTTAGACAATGTGCTTGTGGAAACTATGTCATTTGCTCAAAAGGGAAAAGAAAGGAAGTACACATAGCACATTTTTCATGCAAAAATGTTTCAGTTGCCAGAGAAAGGCACAGTTGGGGTGCACAGAGCAGCACTGGCAAGTGCTGCCCAAGCCCTGCCCACACATGAGGCTCTGGGGCTCCCACCCCAAGAAACTGCTCTTGCTGGTTAGAGCATGCAGATAGAAAGTTTAAGGAATGAATTATATTTCCCCCCCCTTGGGGAATACTGTGTGCACTTAATTGGACACATTAATTTACTCATACTGTCTCTCTGCAGAGTTCATCCCAAGAAGTGAGCTCCAAGCGTATGGAAAGGAGGTAAAGACTTGCAAAATAACAATTCCAAAACCCTCATGCCAATTGCTCCTATCTGCACAAATACAAGCTGATCTGGAGGTTCATGCATAGAGCTGATGATGAATTGCCTGTGGTTTTGGGGAGGCTGATTCTTGCTTTTGATTGCATTGGAAACCTGAAGTTAATGCTCATGAGAAGTAAAATCGGAGCACGTGGGTTACTCGGTGTGCCTGAAGATCACAGAGGCAGCAGTGAAAAGACAGAACTCCTCTTTGAAGCAGTAGCTTCAGCTGTGTCTTATTGTGTGCACTGGGAACTGAGAGGAATAGCAACCCATCTGGGAGAAAATGCCAGCTAAAGGTAAATATTTCTTCAACGAAAACGATGACTGCAGGATATCAGACCCACTCTACGAGAAGTATCGCTACACCAGCCAGCAGCATCCCCTCCTGCTCCTGCTGCTCTTCATTGCCATCATCTTCTGGACTACTCTCATCATCATCTTTTTTCTTACTGATGTGAGTATACTTTTTTCTTTGTGTTCAGTGTTTTTAAAGACGATGAGGTGTCACTGGAACAGCATGCAAAACATTTTTGGCTTGATAATTTTTTTGAGCCGCATGGTAAACCAAGTTGTAGTGCTGAAAGAAATAAGTAGTTGTACATGTTATGCTATGTGTGTTTTGGAGGAGATAGTGTTAGGCACATGCACAGTTACTATGAGAATTGTTCTTTCCTTTCTGTATGTTATGAGCAAATCATAATCTCTATTAAATTCTAACTGTAGTAAAAGGGTCAAGAAGGAGCAAGAAGATAAGTTAAAATGTCCTGCATTTCTCATGGGGTTTTCTTAGAGTCATCTAAGATATGTGAAATATTATAGTGATTAATTTATTTTTTTAAGGATTTGTACATATTAGTTTCCTTAACAAAGAGTAAGAATCCTACAGATCCTATAGGCATAGGAAAGGTGCAGCTTAAAGAACTTTTTGTTATGTAACATAATCAGGTTTTCTGTAAAAAACCCCTGTTGTTCTTCAAGCCAGCCCAGCTGACAGCTGGTAAAAAGGGAGTTGGTTTAAAGATAATGTTGTACCAAGGTAATAAGGTGTCTGTTCTAATTTTTCATTGCCTTCTAACACTGCTTTCCACACACTGTGCTTCATGATAAAGCGTCCTTAAATCTCTATAGTAACAAATCTAATCTCACCAGTTGCACTTGTATCCCTTTTAGCTTTTGTTTCTTAGACAAGGAAAGTAGCAGCAGCACTATTTGCAACTGTCATCTCCTGTAAAACTTGGGAAAAGAGTTGTTACACTCCTTTCTAGCAAGCTTGAACTCATTAAGTGCATTCTTTGGCTACATCTACATTATAGGGATAGTATAGTTAGAACTTTAGCTTGAAAGACAAACCCCAAACCACTAATTTGGAAAATAATATTGGTGGAACTGGGGTAGACTGAATATCTATAATAGTATTTGTTGTATTCTCTCTCTGTGTGTGAGTATCAAAGTGCCACAACTTGATTACTTAGGAACTCAGCATGTTTTAAAGGTATCCAAGCAGTTTCCAGGACAGTATAGACACATTTTTTCATTTTTCTAAAAAGGACATTTGGACCAACTGTGCCACTTTGTTTTGCTTTTGCAGGAAGCATATTCTTACCCTGCCTTCATTATTGCAGTGTGTGCTGCCCTTGGCATCTTTGCAGTCATGTACTTGCTGCTGTGTATCGAGTCTGTGTTTCGAAGGTGGCTGATGTTATTTGGAGTGATGATCTGGATTTGCTTCCTGACTGTAGGATATGTGTCTCTGTTTGAAAGAGGAAAAGATTATCAGCTGTGGGAACAGGTATGTGTATCTTGTTTATTCAGGTACTCACATAGAACTGGCAGGCAGTATACAGAAATGTTTGTGTGCTTTTTATCCCCTAGAACTTCATAACTACATAATAGTTTTCGTTTTGTTTTTGTTCTTTAGTGAGATTTAAGTTCAGTTTTCTGTATTGGTTTTACTGATTTATTGCAGTAAATGTTAGTTTGTTTTCTTTATTATGGTGAAAATACAGTTCAGCTGAGAAAATTCAAGAACTGCATAAATCTGTTGGAGTTTCATCTTTAAGTCCTAATTGAATTGCATTTTTATTTAAGGTTTTTACTATATCTTAATGACCATGAAGTCACCTTTGAGAGTTTTTTTTCATGAATAATACTTGCTATGTTAACTTATATGGGTCAAAGAGGTGTTCAAGAAATGTCTAAAGGACTCCAGAGCTGGGTGTGCCCTAGGGAACACGTTTTTAAGTCAGTGGGAGAGGTGAAGTGAACAATAAGGATTAATGACACATCCTGGCATAGCTGGGTGTGGCTAAAGTTCATTGCTTAGTACCTCTGATCAGAAGATGGGAGATTTCATGATGCCAAAAATATCATAATCTGTAGGAAACTCCTCCTAAGCTCTCATAATGCAACAGAATAGCTTTCAATTAAATAAAAAATGGCTTTTTATCTCGTGTTACTGACTCTTCCCTTTCCCCTCTTTATTTCAATAAAGATATAAATTATCAGTTAAACAACCAGAATCTGATTTGCATTATGGCCTGGATCCAGCACTGTACATTTAGAGTTGCTGTTCAGTATTTTTTAGCTTAAGGAAGTAGCTATTACCTTAGGAAAATCCTCAAAATTTACTGTTCTTAACTACAAATACAATTATATAGCAAAGCAAGATTTGGTTTTGCTGCTTTCAGTATTGCAAGCCAATGTCTCATGGTGTTGTCATGTGGTAATAACTCATTCATATTGCTTTAAAGTCTAAAATATGAGGATGCCTTAGATTGGAAACTAGGAGTGAGCAGATTAATTTCAGACTTTCACCTCAAGTCATCAATTTATCACTAATTAAAGCTACTGTTTAAAGGCAGGTATGGCCTTTGCTTGTCTGTGCTTATAGAACTGCCACACAGCATTCAGATCATTGTGTGCCAGGAGTTGTAAGTAAGGCAGAAAAATTGTTTCCAATCCAGCTCAAATAGTAAAGATGAACATGGAAAGATTATTTCTGTTGAATGGAAACTTTTATTTGCTTGTTTGTTTGTTGTTGTCTCAGTCAAACTATCTAGTCTGGCAAAACATTTAAGTGCAGATTTGGGCCTTGAGACTTCCTTGAAGGAATCTCATGTCTGAAATGGCACAAATTGAGTTGCAGTGGTGAGAAGGAGCTGAGCCAGAAACACTCCAATATTTTCCTCTGATCAGGGTTGTTACTTTGCATCTATATATGCTAACCATTGTAACAAATCTATAAATATGGATTGAAGCTTTACAGGCCTTCCTACTGATCCCTAGCAGGTCAGTGGCCTGTTGTGCATTTTGTAAAATCTGTGCAGCTAAATATGTAGTTAGTGGCAATAAAGGTTATTCTCTTGTGTCAGCACCAGGAAGTGTTGGTTGGATTTTTGGTTTTTATCAAACACGGAGTAAGCAAATACATGTGATTGGGTGATGTTAAAATTAGAACAGAAACTTGGAGAAGGTGAGAAATCTGATTCTATTCAGTATTGCTATCCTTGCAACACACTGTTCCTGATGTGTGAGTACAAAGTGCATCCAAGGTGCATCTGCAGCTGTAATGGATAAAGTCAGGATGAGGGCAAGGACAGCTGAAAAAATTATAGGTGATATGTCATGTTAAACAGTCTTATCTATGAATCTATAGCTGCTAATTCCCTCAAAACTCGTAGAGCTACCACTGTCCTTATGGTTTTAACTGTCCTTTTGAAACACCAACATTTAATTGTTCTGCCTGAAAACGAGCAAGAATCCTGTTACTTTGCTCCTTTCTCTGTAGTGATTTTTGGAAGGCACCTAATAACTTGTATAGGTTGTGTTTTAATTTTTTTTTTTTGCTCTTTCCAAAGGTGCCATTCTTTCTCTTCATAATCTTCACAGTTTATACCATGCTACCCTTTGGGATGAGAGGTGCTGTCATAATTAGTGTTCTTTCTGCTCTCTCCCATATTATTGTTATGAGCACTGTGGTAAGCATGACTTCTCAGCAAAAAAAGGAATGCATTCTATATCAGGTAAGAAAATACCACTTGGTTAAGTAATTAAATACCCTAGTCATGTTGCCATTTGTTATTGACATAACTGTTTAGAAAAGTTCCAAACTTCCACATGAATGTTTCATGAATTTGGAGCTTGGGCCCAAAATGCTTTTCATAAAATTTGCAAATTTTGAAATCTATAATGCATTTTGGTTTTCTGACAAGTGGAAATTATTATATTAATTTTTAAGCCAAGCTATTAAAAATATGACAAGCTTTGTCACAATCATTCTTCCCAATCTGTGCTGTTTCAGGTGGGTCTATCTAACTTCATCAGGCACTGCCCACAGGGTGGATCAAAAGGGCCATTGCTGGCCTGGGGTGTCAGCAGGGATTGCTGCTGAGTCTTTCAGGGTTCCCAGCACTTATTAATGGGGTGTGTTCAAAGGAGCACCCCAGCTCTTTTGATGCAGGTGTGTGCCAGACTCCCCACAGCATGCTGATGCATGAGTTTGTCGACTGGTTTCTCCATAAATCAAACATTGGTGCCTGCAAATAAATGTTAAATGATACAGCAGATTTTTCTGTTTCAT